ACCCGCGGGCTCAGGCAATCCACTCACCTCAGCCTCCCAAAGGTGTGGGATTACAGGCTGAGCCACTGAGCCCAGCTGGAAGCATTATTCTTAATAGTCAAAAAGTGGAAACAGCTGGAATGTTCATCACTTGATGAATAGGTGAATAAAATGTGGGATATCTGTCCAATGGAATGTTATTCAGCAATGAAAAGGGATGATGTGCTAATACATGCTTCAGCATGAATAAATCTTGAAGACATTATGCTGTGTGAAACAAGACAGACACAGAGGCCATGTATCGTTGAGTCCATTTACATGAAATGTACAGAATATACACATTTATGGAGTCAGAAAGTAGATTGGTGGTTGCTTAGGGCTGGAGGGGGAAGAACGGAATTGGTGGCTGACTGCTAATGGTTACAGGGCTTTTTGTTTTGTTTTTATAAGTAGAGGAGGTGAACAAAATGTTCTAAAACAAAACTGTAGGCTGGGTACAGTGGCTCACACCCGTAATTCCAGCACTTAGGGAGGCTGAAGCTGGAGAATTGCTTGATCCTGAGAGTTCTAGGCTGCAGTGATCTAGGATGGTGCCACTGCACTCCAGTCTGGGTGACAGAGGGAGACTCTGTCTCTTAGGGAGAAAAACAAATAAATAAATTGTGGTGATGGGTGCACAACACTGTGAATATGCTAAAATCTGTTATCTTGTAATTTAAATGGGTGAATTTTATGGTATGTGAATCATATCTCAATAAGAATGTTAAAAAATAATTAAACCTGCTGACATTCTAATTAGTCTATAAAGCTTATCTTGGCTCAATTCTCTTTTTTAACCAAGATCGCTCCCCCCTTCAACTTTTTGTTATTCTCAATGGATAACTTGATCTTTATAGCTATGCCATGATATGGTCTATGCTAAAAATAACAGCAGATGGTCAAGCATGGTGGCTCATGCCTGTAATCCAAGATCTTTGGGAGGCTGAGGCAAGAGGATTGCCTGAGCCCAAGGAGTTTGAGACTACTCTGGGCAACATGGTGAGACCTCGTCTCTACAAAAAAAATAAATAAAAGTTAACTGGGCATGGTGGTGCATGCCTAGAGCCCCAGGTACTTGGAAGGCTGAGGCAGAAGGATCACTTGGGCCCAGGAGGCCAAAGCTGTGGTGAGCCATGGTCATGCCACTGCACTCCAGCCTGGGCAACAGAGTGAGACTATGACTCAAATAATAATAGTAATAATAATAATAATAATAATAATAAAACAACAGTGGATCTGTTTGGGGGGTAATTGTGGAAGGGCTAGAGGCAGCTTTGTGCAGTCTAT